CGTATCTAGGTACATCTTCTACATGGGTGTTAATATCTTGTAGCCACATCCGCGCGGCAACCATACTGAAGGCAGGTCGCCAAGTTCACTACTGCGTAGAGACTGGAGAAAAGCATCCGCGGCCGGTGCTAGCTACGCCCAGTAGTCACTCTCTAGTTTCGCTCCCGTTCAGTTGTTAGCTGCTGGCCAACGTCCAAACCTCAAAATAGTCTGTGCCGGGACATTTTCGCATAGACCCTGGTTGTCTCGCTGGCGTTGCTAGGTGGACTGCACCACGACCAATGGATGGGCGAAGATCCAGCCACTATGCGTGACAGTGGACGCTCAAGGCGTAATGATGCTCTTGGTCATGCTAATAACGCCGCTTCTGTGATGGGTCCGATAATGTTGTCGTAAGAGGTCCATGTTTATAAAAGCGCGGAATGGAAAGAACCAATTCAGTCAATCGAAAACGCCGCCTAATGCAAAGAGGAGCATCGCTTTAAGATCTGGGTCGACAAGATCTGGAGACCACTCCAAGAAAAGCCTCTTCCTGAGAAGCCTAAGCTACAACGTCAAAAGGATGATACACTTCAAGCAGATCACTACCGGTCTTCCCCGCACTTCCCAAGATTACTAGCCACCGACGTCGCGGGGTAGCGATATTGCCGATGTGCCAACTCCACCATGCCTTCCGACCAACGGGTTCCGCCCGCCAAGTACATCTTCTGCATGCTTTCGCTGCTCCCTACCTATCAGAATCGAGCTCTCACGCCAAGACGTGGTCAAGACATCTCCTTGTCAGCAGCCAAGCTGCTTAACCCCAGGTTTTCTGCGATAGTCAATGGCGTTGTCTAAACAGAGAAGGTGACTGGGGTGGTATGAGACGATGTGTAACTCTCGTGCCCTCCTCCCCCGCATCGTATGACTCGGCGGTTGTGCAGGGTGGTAGTTCTGAGGCCGACGTGGGATGGTGATATCATGCGTCCATACAATGAAGCAAAGATGTGGTATAAGAGGACCACGTCTTGTGTTCCCTACGCGCATAAGCTTCGCTCCTGACAGCAAACGCTTTTGAAATACCATCAAACCTTACTTCGAATACTCCTTCAACAAGTGCTCCCTGGAATGGGCTGTTTTACCACTCATGCATCTGGCACGTTAGATCCTCCGGAGGTGAGGAACTGGCGTCTCCATGTCATCGCCTGTATTGCTTCGATGTCGGCCCTAGCAAGTAAGCCTCTGCTATCTTGATACGAGAGAAGACAGAAGCTGATAATGGTAACAGTGGGCTACGACACAGCCGTCATTGGCGGCACCATGGCCCTAGACTCGTTCAGGCGCGACTTTGGGACAATCAACATTCCCCAGACTCAGCGCGACACGATTCAGGGCAATATCGTATCTACTTTCCAGGTACGTCTACTAGGTCGTGGTCTATTCGCGCAGTCACCAACAGAGATCAGGCTGGCTGCTTCTTTGGCGCACTCTTCGCCTTCCCACTCGCGGAAAAGCTCGGTCGAAAGAAAACGATGATTATTGCCTCGTCTGTCTTCCTCCTTGGCGGTACCTTGATGACGGCAGCAAGAGGTAGCCTCAACATGATCTATGGTGGACGGGCTGTAGCAGGCTTGGGCATCGGCGCATCGTCTATGACAGTGCCCGTTTACATTGCCGAAATTGCTCCGCCTTCAGTTAGAGGCCGACTCATTGGTATCTTCGAGATTGCTTCCCAAGGTGGAGGCATGTTGGGCTTCTGGATCAACTATGCCTGTGATCGAACCATTGACGTCAACAGCCCAGCTCAGTGGACCATTCCGCTTGCTATTCAGCTAATCCCTGGGCTTTTACTTCTGCTCGGCGTCGCTTGGTGTCCCGAAAGTCCCAGATGGATGGCACGAGGCGACAACTTCGATGGGGCCGAAAAGATCTTGACGAAACTTCGCAACCTCGACTCTTCTCACGCATATATTCAGCACGAGATGAGTGAGATTCGTGCGCAGGTAGAGGAGCGTAGCACGAACCATATGAGCAAGAAGGCTCAGTTCAAGAAGCTGTTCCAGAAGGGCGTACGAAACCGTATGGCTATCGGTCTTGCCCTCATGTTCTTGCAGAGCTTTACAGGAGTAAGTCGAACCGGCTTACTCGAACCACTACTGTTGCTAATTGAGATCAGGTCAACATCATCACATACTACGCACCCCGTATCTTCGAGACTCTCGGAATCTCTGGGACTTCCCTCAAGCTCTTCTCTACCGGTTTCTACGGCATCGCGAAAACGCTCGGCATGTGCACGTTTACCTTCGTGGTCGTCGAGAGAGTCGGCCGCCGTAAGGGTCTGATTTGGGGCGCTGCCATTGGTTGTATACCCATGTGGTATATTGGCGGGTATGTCATGAAAGCTGACCCTGCTGCCGCGGCGGCTGCGGGCAATATCAACCGTGACGGTTGGGGATACCTGGCAATGGTCTGCGTTTACATCAACGCCTTCATTATCTGCGCAACTTGGCAAGGAATTTCCTGGACAGTCGCAAGCGAGATCTATCCTCTCGATATTCGTATGCTTTGTGTCTCTCTCACTACTGCGGACACATGGCTTGGATCTTTCATCATTGCGCGCAGCACTCCGTACATGATCAGCGACCTTGGATATGGAGCATACTTTTTCTTTGCGGCCATCCTAGTCGCGATGGGTATCTGGAGTTTCTTTTTCGTGCCAGAGACTAAGGGCGTTACTCTGGAAGAGATGGATGCACTCTTTATGAAGCCGATACACAAGGCTGTGTGGGCTCAGGTTCGTGGAAAGCCGCTCTTCGTCGACGAAGATGAAGTTGCAAGGAGTAAAGGTCTGGCCCCTACAAATGAGAAGAATGTAGGGATAGAACATGTCGAGAGCGTACCAAACAAGAGGGGAGCGATGTGAGCTCTAAGAGATCTGGTTTGAGTGACCATGGTTCAGTGTAGGTGTCTGCGGAGAAAGATCGCAGCTGCGCTGGTCGATTGCAATATAACACTTAATCCGTCTCACTACTGCTATCATCTGCTGTGATATTGAAGTACCATAATTGCTTGCTGGTCACACTCATGTAGCAGCATGTTTACATGACTGTGGTACTGTTAACAACTGATTCTGACCACCTTCTTACTCATATCGAACCAGCGTCGCATACTTCCGCTCATAAGCAAGATAAACAATTACAGTACATATTCAATACCAAGAAAACTGAGGAGTAATGTTAGCATGGTGGTGTTATTCACCAAGCGAATTGCGCAATACCCGGCGTTCGATTGGCCAATCGAAATCATCTGCCGAGGCCATTCACTACCGACGCGAACCACTCTTGGACAACGGACGACGGGATCGCACAAGAAATGCAAGATGCCGAACTCCTATCTCGCAGTCATGCGTTTGCATATATTCCAGGGAGGTCGCGATCTTGACGCTGTTGGGTTCTCCATTGTAGGGCATGCTGTCAAGCACCAGGAACCTTTATCATTCGACGTTTGCAGCTCCTGGATATAATCTCGTGAACACGGCTGCACAAATATCATACAGCCCATTTACTGAAGACTACGGAAGCAACGATACGATGTTACTCATCCAGTCGCGTAAGCGAACCGACGCGATCTCTGAGCTATCATTTGTGGATCGGCACCAGATCTTGAAGCCGCAGTCGCCAGAAGATAAACGACAGGACAAAGTTCAAGATGGTATTTCGGACGAGATCACAACACATGAGCCTTTCAATCTTGTTTCCAGGCACCGAATCGCGACCTTGAGTTTGGAGCAACTGGTGGAGCTCAGTGAACTTGTCTCAGAACGCATTCACATCAAAAAGCGTTATAACAATACACCTCTTCGCCGAATCATCGCCCATCAGGTGTCCACCGAAACAACTCAGTCAGACTGCGATAGGTTCAGCCAGACCGACACGCTTCTCAACACAGAACCATCGGAGGTCACACCAAAGAGCATCGAAGACACACCTGAGGACATACAAGCTCGATTCAATAGCACACCCCTTCGACGCATCTTGTCTCGTCAAGTACCTGCTGAGAGTCGAAAAACGGAACACCAGAGCCGACCTACCCCAAGTGCGAAGTATGAGCCGGAACCTGTAGAGGTCAGAAGAGCGAGATACAACAACACCCCGCTTCGACGTATCATCTCACGGCAAACGTACCCTGAAGCTCTCAGAAACAAGGAGGGATTGGATAATGCCGAATCACCAGATGCATTGCAAATTACTACGCTCCAAAGAGTACCCCGCAGCAACACTCCTCTTCGTCGTATTCTCTCGCGCCAACAATCATCCCCAACGGAGTATGAGGAAGATTACGATGCAGTCTCCACCCGTGCCGACTCCGTCATCGACTTAGACTCGCCTATTCGCTCAGAAAGCAGTGCAAACAAACCCCCACCCCCCACCACAGTGATCCTAAACTCCGAAGCCAGGATTCGCGAATACGAAGAAGCGCTCTGGAAAACAGCATCGTATCCGCTGACAGACAAGGAGGCTCGAGCGACAGTCGTTACCGTTACGGAAGTGGTACTGGAGAGCAAGGAACCAAGGCGAATTGTGGTTGATTCGAAGGGAAGTCCATTGCGTCGGATTTTGCAGAGGCAGACGAGCAGGGATTGGAGAGCTCCGGCGCGAGTGGCGGTTGCGTAGTGGGTGTTTTATTGCGTTGATCTCTGATATCCCAGGTTGCAACTACGGTACTCAGTCTGTATGTGAAAGTTTGTTAGGAGGACCACGTTTCTGTATAATGTGTATATTCTTAGGTTAAACTGCGACTTTGAACGACGTGATGCTTCACGAAGTCGATTTCGGTAGCCATCGCCGAAACTCGCCTGGCTACCCCACGCTATCGAGCAAACTTCCAGCTTGACAACCACACCTCTTGCATTTCCATAGTATTCGCGATTGTTGTTGGCGCGTTGGCGACGCGATGCGACAAGCCTACTGGCGATATAAGAGCACCATTCGCTCTTCATCCCACCAATCAAACAACAACAAGCCCGGCTGGCACAATCGGTAGCGCGTGAGACTCTTAATCTCAAGGTTGTGGGTTCGGTAAGTGCTTGGATCTGCCCTTTGTTCGAATCTTGTCCCTAACAAGTAATAGAGCCCCACGTCGGGCTTAGCCGTTTCTTTTTGCCTTCGTTGCTGGATTCCTTGGGTGCTGAGGCTGTGGAGTTTCGGATTTTTGGAGTGGAGCGGTGCGGTGATCTGTGCGCCTGCAGCCTGTCTCTACACTCGCTCGCTGACAGACTCCACATTGGGCTCAGCAGCCTTCTTTTTGCCGGTCTGGCTGTTGAGTGATGATTGTGGATAGTGAAGTGATAAGTCGATGTTGCCTGGCAGTGCGCCCTGGCGGCTTCCGTGTTTCTTGTCTGTCCTCGAACTGTAGCACAGGGCACTCACTGGCTATAGTTGCGGCCGAAGCTCACGATACGCCAGGACGGACAGGCACCATCATGTTGCCGCCTCGCCGCGCTTTCTCCCGTGGTGTTCTATGATCTTCGTCTGGTGCCGCTGACGCTGGTTCATCTTGTCGCTTCTCTTCATCCACTGATGTTGGCACTTTTTCTGTCTCAACACTCTCTTCAGCGTCCTTCTTACTATTCCCGTCGTCGCATTTCAGACTCTCTTTGTATCCTTCCCACAGCTTCTCGATACTCTTGCCGCAGCAGTCGTGCCAGAGCTTTTTGGCGTCGTACTTGCAGCCCCTCAACGCTTGATTAATCTTCCTTACCACGTCCTCGCCATGCTCTTTCTCTAACCATTCCAGGAAGTAGGCTGTTCGCTCATATCCAGCGTCCCAATCACAATCGCCTCTACGTCTCCAGTGAGGTGGCGCGTACCCTGCCTTCAGACGTACCCAGTCGGCGACACCTTCTGTCAAGCCCCCAGGCGCAGTGTTACCGCCATGATGTTGCCAACAGTGAACCATTTCATGAACCAGGACTCCATTGATCTCCTCCTTTTGTCTTGATTCTGGGACGTGTTCGATATATTTGGTACTGAGGTGAATCTCCTTGTGGTCGTCATCAATGTCTAGACCGGTCGTGTATGCCACTCCATCCATGTCCCGTACCACTAACGTGATTGAACGTGTGGGAGGTATGCATGACTTCTCTACGTCCGTGTATAGAAGTTTTAGAACGGCATCGACAGCGGATTCGAGTGCTGAGGAGGCGTATACAAGGCGGAGGAATGCGCGTGAGCCATCCGAGGACAGATCTCGAAGCTCAAGGCGGAGCAAGGGTTTACGCAGCGGTTTGACTTTGGATAGCGATGCCTCTCCTCGCTGTACAACACTGTTTTGTTGTGTTGTACTACGCTCGCTGGTGGGAGGCAATGCGGAGGACTGTGGGGCCGGTGGGGTAGAGCTCGATGTCGGGGCTGGAGACATTGTTTGGAAGAACTTTGGTGTTGAAGACGATGTCATCCTGTGTTGCAAAAGCCCAGAGGTAAGACGAAAAGCTTTATAGGCAACGAGATGGCCAGCTGTTATTAGGCAGATGCGTTGGCATCATCGACCTGCAAGGCAGCTCAGACGCTAAGATAAGAGCTTCGCGCTAACACCACTTATCGAGGAAATGTATTCTACGAATCTATGCTCGGGTGTATTCATTCTCTGACAACTCATCTTCTAGCCTCTGTCAAGTCCTTTGGCCATTCTACGTAAGCTGTTGTTTCAGAGTCATGCAATTGGGTGTTGAATCTGCGTGCGATTTTGCAAGTGCTTAGGAGCTTTTGAACACTTCAGGAAATGTCTTCCTCAATTCCTGCAGACTCCTGATCTGATGCTTGGCAGCTTGCTCGGGCGGAGATGGCATGCTTTCATCCAGGTAGTGTGCGACCTTCCACCCTCGCTCGTGGGCAGCCTTGCAATTGATGTACGAATCATCTGCCATCGTTTAGCATTAAGGATGATGTTGTTTGGACCAACGACGAACTTACCCACGAAATAACACTTTTGATTGTCAATTACGCCTGCTTGCTTCATGGCTTTGTCGAACATGTCGGCTTGCGGCTTGCAGACAAATCTGTCCGAGCTGTAGTCGCAGTACGTCATACCCTCGAAAAGGTCGTCGATTCCTAGCAGCTTCACCACACGTTTTCCGTGAGTGACATAAGCATTCGTGAACAACCACAGCCTCACTTTGCTCGTGTCAATGTCTTCGATGAGCTTTCGCAAGTCCGAGTCTGGTTTGATCACGTCGTCCAAAGGCAAGGCATCGTCGACCTTGGTGTTGTAATCCAACGCATCAATCTTGTGGTGTCTAACAAGACCTTCGATGGCGAGACCATATTCTCGGTAATACTTGTAGTGAAGTTCATTGGCCTCCTCTTGCGACAAGTCAAGATGCGTCTGGAAGTATTTGTCTACGGGTATAGTCAGGGCTGTCTCTAGCTTATTAAAGCGCATAACCACACTTACCGATGAGCTCAGCCATCATATCATGAATCTTGAGACCTGACAAGGTCAGAACTATACATCAATTTGGACCACACCTTCGTACTCTTTGGGTAAAGCTGTGGCGAGATTAGAACAGGTTTCTTTATATAGCGGCAACCTTACACAATTGTCAATGTCAAAGAAGAAGACCGGCTTCTCATTGTTGTGCGCCATGGTGATGTGTTGCTTCGAATGGCAAGCCCCGATTCTTGTAGTATGTACTTGCGCCCTTTTGAAACCAGTACTTCTGTTATGCCGTAATGCAATTGGGCGTGACTGTAATCTGGCCCAAGCTTTTAATGTGTGTTGGCTGAACCAACAATTGGTCTTCGACAGCGAGCAGTTCGCAAGATGTGGGTTACAATTTTGTATGAGCCAGGCTTTCCAACGGCAAAGATGAGGAGTTGCATCAATTCCAAATGCAGGGAAAGAGTGCGCGAACGCGAGAGTCATGACGCGTGGGGGTGAACGAGAAAGTGACCAACCGAGTGTGGACTAGCGCGTTGGCGTGCTGAATTTCACCGCGGCTCCATCGACCGCGCTCGCATGTTGCTCTCCAACCCCTTCACCTCCATCAACCGCGACATCAGACGGCAGTGTGTACAGTGCTTGTATTTGTGCATCTGCGGATTTTTTGATCCTCGACGTCTGTTGGTCTGTTGGAATTGAGTTCTAGCTGTGGACTGTCGCAAAGGCCAATCGCCTGCCAGCCGCGCAATGTCGACAATCACAGCAACAGTGCCGCACATCAACGGCACAGGGGTGGTACCCGCAGAGGCGCGTCGCGAGGTCGACTTTTTGAAGCAGATCCTGCAGATACGCGATGAGGTGTTTGCTAGCAAACATCCTCGCATCCATCTTCCACCCAAAGTAATTGAACAGGTTGCACCGCGTCCACCGCAGACGACACCGCCGACCAGACCTTCGACCAACGGCATCACAAATGGCACCAGCGCCTCGCAGCTGTTCCCTCCACGCCCGGACAGCTCGCTACAACAGGCCGCGCAAGCACCTGAGTTTGTTTCCCCTGCCCAACCCATACAGCGACCATACTCTGCCAAGTCCGCATCCTCTGGCATCGATCCGGTGTTACTGACCAAGTCTGATCACTTGATCAGGGCAGAGTTGCAGCTTAAGCGGCAACAAATAGAACGACTGTTGAAAGATCAGTTCGATAAGAAGGGTCGTGGCAATGACAACGAGGAGCGAGAGGCCCACTTCAATGTGGAGGAGTGCCTGATGCAAGCTCATCTTCTTGTGCCGCCTGTATCTGGCTTGCAGTCAACGACTAACAACAGTGATGGCGCTGAGTCATTTGATGAGAACTCGTACTATTCCAGCAAAGCAGACAGTTGGTCTTCGGAAGATGCTGATGTCAACCAAACCTCCAATGCTGATGCTACAGAGCCACTTGCTCCTCGTGGAAAGCAACCTGCTAAGGATGCTCATGCTCAATTACGACCTATCCCATCTGCTGTGATCGACCTCGACGAAGAAACGTACGAGCCTGCCGATGACATAGAGATATATGAGCCAGAGCAGGTTAACCTTCAGGATGATGAAGACGAGGAGGACTACTCACCGCCTCCCGCTGATGTCGGTCCCAGTGAGCCCAGTAGAGGTCGCGCACGAGACCGTGGCTTCGGCAATGGTGGCACTAACGGGTATGGTATTCACATTTCTTCTGTTTTTGTCACAATTCCTTAGGTTCCAGACATCCACACATCTTGGTCTCTTGTTTTATTTACAAGTCGATCCTTGTTCCCTCCTCGTTTTGTCACTTTCAGCAGCACTGGATCGTGTATGATCCACATTGCGCGTGTTTTTCAATAGAAGATGGCCAGCCGAGTGGTCTTCGAACAGCAGCTGGTCGGCGTGGACCTCATGGTCATCCCTTATTACATCACAGCAATTTGAAAGGTTGTTGCAGGCTGACAGAATCCAGGTCCCGTCGGAATAGTCCATCAGGCCCAGCAGCACCACTTCATAATCCTCGCAAGCGACGAAGAGAGGAGAAGCGCCAGGAGAAGCGGCGTGAACAGCAGGCCAACAAGCGTGTTGAGCAGGTTGCGCAGTCTCCGGAGCCATACATCAAGGAGGAGCCTCAGTCGCCCCCTCCTTTTGCAGAAGCACAACCTAGTAAGCGTCGAGCTCTTCAAGCACTTCCTAACGATGTCGAGGTGATGTCACCACGGGAAAGTGCTCGAATGCAGCCTGTCTGCTACAGAGAACCGGAGGCCGTACAACGATCCTACCACGAGTATGATGAGCCGAGTTCACCAACCGTGATCCACGCACCACAACGAAGGCCCCAACCCCAGGAACAGGATTTGAGGAGGGTAGCAAGCCTCCAGTATGCTCGCCGTCCTTACTCGCCAGGCGGTGGTGGTAGTGAAGTTTATGCAGTCCCTCCAGAATATCGTCCAATTCGCGCTGCCTCTCATGCGTACGTAGATCGACCAGAAATACCGGTATTCCGAGAAGCATCATCTCGCGCCTCAGTGGCACCACGATACGTTCGTGAGCGTTCACGATCGCCCATCTACGAGCCTATGCCTCCGCCCCGGCGTATTGTCGTAGACCAGTACGGGAACAAGTACTACGCAGCACCTGTCGACGCAAGAGAGTCAGCTGCTCCACC